AAATTTGTCTTTCAATGTGCCAAATGCAGTAACCTGGTAACACCTCACTTCGCCAAGAAGGCTGATGAGATGACCTTTACCAATAAAGACTCGAAAATCCTTGTCGATCGAGACTTAGATAGGTAATCAGTCGACTGAGAAGCAGTGCTGTTTATCCAAACTGAAGGTGCTCCTTGATTGATTGATTATACGGCTCCAGTGTTGTCTATCCAAACTGAAGATTTTGCCAGTTGCCTTCACAGTGCTGTTTATTCAAACTGAAGATGTGTCAGCAGAAAAAAGAAAATTTCGCGTCGAGCGAGAATTTCTACAGGGCAATTTGTGTGTTGAATTAGAAGGGGCTGAAATGTTGCATGCGACTCTGTATTTATAGTGGCTGTCTTTTGCTTGGCACAACCTGATAACTTTGTAGAGTCTAATTGCCACCCTAACTTTGTAGAACATCACTTGCTACGTTGACTCAGAACTTGTGTCTAATCACCTTAGCCGTCCAATATCTCTAAGATATGATAAAGGCTATCTCCTAATTCTCCTTGAAAAGATAACTATATCCTTCCACACTCGTAAATCTGTCACCACCACCACACGCCAGACACTCCAAATCAATTTGAACTGTACCGCTTACTTGGGGATATAATCCACATCCTATCTATCCCATTTAAGAATATGCCAAGATAATTCATATTAAAAGACAATTATTATGATAAAAACCATAATATTATCTTTTAACAATAACAAAATTATCTTCACTTTTTCATCCAACGGTTGGCATCTATGCTCACTTAACAACCTTGATTGCACGGGCCGATGATGTAATTTTGGGTCCAAACAAACATATAATTAAGGGGAATGCCATTTATACATCAATTTTTTTTTTAATTTTTTTATCTTTTATACTGTACAATCTTGTTATCTTTTGATCCTTGACTTTCTTCAATTTATTCTATTCGACGACTGGAAATTAATAGTGTGTGATGGTAAAAACAAGTGTGTGGATAACACCACCAATGAGAGCAACTTCACCCCTTCCAATTGCAAGAAGGATTGGGTGATTCAATCTACCAAAACCAACAAAATGAGCTCCACCCAACCCAAACAAGTCTGGCTACAGTAAAAACACGGAGGCACGACTACTTACTCGGGCTAAATCACCCAATCCAGCGTTTTAAGAAATGTGACACCACCTACGTTATTATTATTTTGGGCTAGGCGCGTGGGCTTCACATATGCGTGAGCACGAGTGGACCGACCAACCCTATAGTGCTAGGGGCCTTCAACCATTTGATTTGCACAAGATTTCTATCTTACAGTCTAGATTTTTCAACAAAAAAAATTTAAAAAGAAATCAAAAATTAAAAAAAAAAAACTTATTAGCTATTGTGGCTCATGTGGCACTTTTTGGGTTGTTGGATTACAAAAAAGAATGTAATAAAAGGTTCATATTAAATAGGTAAAAAATAAATATTATAAATTATAAAAGTTAAAAATCTTATTCGAAATTAAACATATATTTATCTTCTTATTAATTTTTTTTTATAAATATTTTAGGGGTGTAGATAGACATGGGCAGTTATTATTCCCTAAGTAGTAATTGCCTTAGTAGGGTGGAGTTGCTCTAATCAATCCTAGTACGCCACGTTCCATTGGGTCTAATATTAATCATCGGGATAAGGTATAAATAATTATTTTAATATTTTTCAGATAAAAGTATCGTTGGATTTTGTAATAGATATAAGGTACACTTACGAACCAAGCTTTAACAAACAAGTCGAGTTTGAACCAAATTCAAGCTATCTGACAAAAAGATACGAGCATTTCACTAGCTTTATGAGCTGAACATAGCAAAGCTCTATATTGACTTATTTCATTAACGAGTCTATTATTTTGTTTGATTTCAACTCATTTCATTGAAAATCGAGCTTATATGAGCAAAAAAAACCAATTCGCCTTGTTTCAAGCATATTAAAGCCCTGCATGTAGTGCCCACTTTATGAAAATTGTGGTGTTTTGTTTTGAATGCAAGAACGATTAACAAGAAATATGGGTGCTAGCTCAATTTCATTACATATCCACAAACAAAAGACATATGGCCACAATTGAGGGATTGGAGGAGATGGGAGAGATTTAGACGGAAATTGTTATAAATTTGGCTTGGGTTACATCTGCCAATCTATCACCACTATTTTAGGTATCTTAGGTAAGTCTCTAATATATTTAAAGAGGTGTTGGGTTTGAATTAGTTGCACAATGATTCAAATACATAATTTAGTATTGAATTAGCCATTTACATGAGTCGAATATAAAATCTAACACTTATTGAATCAAGAGACTTACTACTAGATTGTGGTAGTATATAAGTCACCCTTATTAAGTGTGCAACAAAGTGCAACGATGGGTTTGACTCAGTCTAATATTGGCCTAACTGGCCCATGAAGCCCATTTCAGGCCTAAATGTCTTTTGATCGAAGAGGGATGAAATAATCGATAGATTTGGGGAGTGAGGATCCTCTTTGTGAAGATCTCGAGGATCCTCAAATCATATTTGTTCATCGTATATCGTGTGGTAAAAAATCATTGTAAATTTTTTTTATTTAAAATTGAATATAAACAATATTTGACAAAAACTGACTGCACGATGCACGATAAACAAATGTAATTGAAGGATTCCCGGAATCCTCACAAAGAGGATCCGGCAAGGATCTCTCTCAGATTTGAGAACTAGGAGGTGTATTCAATTGGGATTTTGAAGAATTATAATTTTTTAATGAATTTAGGGATATTCAATCATGATTTTAAGTAATTATCTGAAATTCAATATGTATTCAATCAGGATTTTAAGATAGTTTATTATAATCCTTAGAAATCCGGATGTATTCAATTAGAATTTTAAAGAAGTTTATAACATTCTAGGTGTATTTAATTAGAGTTTGGAAAAGTTGAGGAATTAGAGGGAATTGGAGAGATTGTGTAGTATATTTTAAGCATCCACAAATCTCACCTCTCCCCATGAGATTTGAGGGAATTGAATCAAAATTTTATATGAAATATCTACAAATCGGTTAAACTTCATAAAAATTCGTGGATTTTTAAATCTATTAAAATATCTCAAATTCCCAATTGAATACGCAGCCGGGTTTGGGTTTTAGAATCGGTTAATTCCAACCCGGTAAATTCCATATCAATGCTTAAACCCCCAAATGCAAACCCTTCAGCTGCTCCTCGGACTTGTCTCCGCCACTCTCCAACCCTCGCTGTCTTCCTTCTGCTTTCAGCTTCAGAAGGTTAGGGTTTGTCTCTCTCTCCTTCTCTCTCTCTTTCTCAGACTTGTCTCTGCCTCTCTAACCCTCGCCGTCCTCCTTCTTTCAGCTTCAAAAGGTTAGGGTTTCTCCCTCTCTCTCTCTCTCTCTCTCTCTCTCTATATATATATATATATATTTCTGTATACATATCATTTGTTTCGCTTCAAATAAAAAAAAGGAAATTTCATCAATTCTAGAATTCGGGATTGATGAAGTTTGAATATTTGAAATGAAGTTGTATGTCACACCAGCTAAAATCTTTGTGGAAGTAAATTGTATAAATATTTGCATGTTTGAATTTCTAGGGGTCAGGCGTCACAATGGGGAGGAAGGCTCGTCACAGTGACAGTGAGTTTGAGGACGATGGTGACTTCGACAGCGATGAGCTGAATGTTAGTTTAATTTGTAATTCTGTTGTTCGGTTTCGGTAGTTATCTGGTTTTGTTTTGGTGATTGTGTTGTTAATTGATGATTTGTGATGTAGATGGAGCAGGAAGAGGATGACTTTATTGATGAGCACGAAGGTGAGGAGGAGGAAGAAGAATCAGAAAATGAGGAATAAGATGGAGGAGAAGAAGGGGAAGAGGAAAATGGTGATGAGAAAAACGATAATAAAGATGCCGAGAGGGAAGAACTCGAGAAAGAATACATGAATCTTCGTTATCAGGAGCAGTAAGAGACTTCTGTTCACAATCCTTTTATTTTTTATTATAAACTTGTGATGCTTAATTAGACTGACGACGTAGAACTAAATAATGTGAGTGTAGGAGATAATATGCATAGCAGTTGGAGGTTGGTGACGAAATTTGATATTAGGTTACAGAAGTCATACATGCGTGATGCATCTGCAATTATTGAGTTCGGGATAAAAAGAAGGAACATACATCTATACATAGGTATAGGCGGATGTATGAAGTTAATTTTGTTCATCGTTTATTCCCTCTTTCCATGCAGAGATATTTTAAAGAATCTAAAGCGCCGTAAGGATGAAGATCTTCTTAAAGGTCAAGCAGTGAAGAACCAAAAGGTGTGTTGTTCAAGATAATAGCTCTTGTAATATCCATGAAATAGGTTTTATTTTTCATCATGAAATTATTGCTCCTTGATTGGAGCTTCTTTTTATGCCTCGCCTTAAAGTTGACAAAAAATATTTATGTAGCGGATTATTGTCTGATTGATGTTTGTTTTACCCATTTTTTATGTTTTTTTTTTTTTTTCATTTTCTTGAAGTCTTTGGGACAAAGCTCTTGAGTTCAGATTCTTGCTTCAGAAAGCATTCTCAAATTCAAATAGATTACCACAGGTCGCTGTTGCTTCCGCCCACCCCCCCCCCCCCCCCCCCCCCCCCCCCCCCCCCCTCTCTTTCTTTTTTTTTTTTGTAGCTTTTTGACATGTTAAGATATTATGTTCTTACCCGAGAGGTTGTCTGCAGGAGCCAGTTAGGTCTTTATTTTGTGATTCACATCAGGTTGTCAGTACAGCATATTCTGATCTAGTTGACTCATCAAAGCGAATTTTAGATTCTCTAGCGGAACTACAAGAGGTATGGCTGTCATAAAAACTTGTTGTCTATCTAGTACTACTTGGTCTGTGGTTAGCTTCATACCTTGTGGTAATATAATATAAATTATTACGATTTGTTAATATTGACATTTGTATATGCTAAAATTTATCACATCATGCCATTTTTTCTTGTTACAGGCTTTACTTGAGAAAAATCCGTCCATCGTTCAAGCAACAGATAGTATGTGCAAAGTACATTTATCATACTATTATATTTATTTTGTAATACAATTGGCTCTCTATTATTGTTGTGCATTTGCTATTGGCGTGATAAGAATTACCAGTATGTGTAAGGTTTGCTATGCTGGTACTGAGTTATTATTAAGAGAGTAAGAGTGTCAATCAAGAGGAATGGATTAAGCTTGATCCTTGCCCAAGCTCATCCCAAAGTACAAAGCATCGAGCTTGAGCTTGGACCGGCTCAATTGTTAACCTAAATCTTCGCACATCAGCTTTGGGTCAGTTGAATTGTAATGAAGTTTGTGCTTAGTTCTAATTGAGATCAAGGCAGTCCCAACAGGTGATGGTTTACACACAATAGGTTGGAAGTTCAGAGTAGTTTGATCGGTCAGAAATATTGTTGTATTCAACAAAAATTAGACACTGCGATTTTGTATACAGCATTCAAGGAAACATCAATAGGGTTTAGGTATATGTTCCAGTGGTCAAAAGCATAATGTGGGCATAGAAGCTATCAATACTTGTATAAAACTGAAATATTTGTATAAAACTGTATAAAACTGAAATATTTTTTTTCTTCTTCATGCCATATTTCACTGCTCCATATGGAGCAGCAAAAGGAAATGTGGAATTTTTCTGTTTTATTGTTTAAAATTCTCGTAATGGTAGATTCAAGTACCTTACTATTATTGCTGTATTTCAATACCATAGTATCTAACTTTTGTTATACTTCAATATATAGTTTTTATCAGTTAATACATCAGCCTGTTATGTTATTTTGTCTCAACTGTTTAATATGCAATATACCCGTTGATAGTTTTCTGACATTGAAATTCCATTAGGCACTAAAGTAAATTTGTTTGTTATCCAAAGGGGCCGGCAAAGAACATTGAAATGAATTTGTAAATCATACTTGTAAAAAATCTATGTTGCCATGTTTACTTTGAGATGTAGGGCAGTTCTGGTATAAAAAATCTTCTACTTGTAGTCATGCTCCGTCAACTTCTCTTGCATGATTTCTTGAAATTTGTTCTACCATGTTGTTCAACTTTTCATTATTGTATGCATTTCCACTTGGGTTACTTGGTCTAACTAATCCTGTCATGCTTTATCTTGTAGAATAGCTACTTTCAGAGACAAATCCATCAACAAATGGCAGAGGAAGACAGAGGTGACCACAGGTGCTGCTGCTATTAAAAGCAAACTGCATGCTTTTAATCAGGTCTGGCCCTACAATTAAAATTGTAACCATGCGTTCCCCTATGAGCGGACTTGTGCCATCCTTTCCAATTGCAGAATATTAGGGAACAAGTTGCTTCTTATATGAGAGATCCAAGCAGGGTGGTTAGGCAGATGCAGATGAGGAAATCAGCAGTTTCTGTATTTGGCGCTGTAAGATATTAACTCTTACATCTAAATTGAAAAAAATTGAAAATTTCACACTTCCCAAGCTTCTTGAGCATGCTCAAAGAGATTTCTTCTTAAATTTTTAAATGGATGTGCAGGTTCCTGAGGAGAAAAATACTGCAAAGGGGGAGGTAATCCTACTGTTCTGCATAGAATTGGTTAACTATAATTCTATTCAAATCTGAGGCTCATCTATAAATTCGTTGCGGTTAAATGTCCCATGGATTTTAATTCTCAAACGAGGTACAAATTCATTGTTTGAGGAAGGATGCATTCTGTTAATTTGATACCATATTTGAACAATATTTTGCATCGTTTGTGGTGTTTACTTCAATTTTCATTTTGGATGGCCCCAATTTTATTTGATGAATTTGTTCCTTTGCTATAAGAATGAATAATGCCACCTGTGATTATTTTAACACTCATCAGCTGTAGCTTTGATTGTATCTTTTAATTAAAAAATTTGTTTATTATTCCTTCACTCTAATAGGAGACACAATCCGAAGCTGGTGCACAAGCTGACGGTGACCCTGAACTTTTGGATGACTCTGAGTTTTACCAGCAGTTACTGAGAGAATTTTTTGAGACAATTGACCCAGCATCTTCTGGTAAAATTATTAGGGCATCTCATACGGAATACATGATTGCATTTGAATGTGATATACTGTTTATCCAAGTCTATTGGCGTTTCGGTAAATCAAAACACGGTCAGATTGCATTTAAAAATTGTGGCTTTTGAAATTGTTTATGATTGTATACGCCCAAGTGATGCCGGATATCCTTGTTAATTTTCTGTTGCATGAGGTCGTAAGCAATCAGTGGCAGGGAAAAAAAATTTCGTAACGCTAATGCCATAATGTACACAATATTTGATGATGCTGAAGACATTTGAACTTGATACCTAATAGGATAGCAAGGGTCTTTCATATCCCAAGCGGTTAACATGGCTTAGTTATGAACTCCAAGTCTGGTGTTTGAAGGCAGAGAACATTTTGAAGACAAGGTGGTAATGTAGATGTCTGTATCTCGTAAAATTAAAAACTCATGGAGGGCTTTTTGACTACTGTCGCTTCTTTTTCTGAGAGATGGAGGGCCGAACGATTTGAGTTAGCGTGAGAAAGAAGACGGCAGCAGTGACTAGCCCCCTCCATCCCCCCATGTGGCAGTTATTGCCTCTGGCACTCGCTGCTGCGATTTTGTGATCAAGATCGTTCCGTTGCTCTTCTTCGTCTGAAAAACATACAAATGACAGGAAGTTTTGAGAAAAATGAAATGAATACGGGCAGACCCCTAAGTGCTTTAATGGAGCATAATTTACCTGAGTCCATGATGAGTGTATTCAACCATTTCGGCCTACAGAAATCAACATTTTTCATGAACCAGCAAAATTCGTATGTTCCTGATACATTCTCCAGCGGTGACAAATCCCCACCGATGACAAATGGATCATTAGGATCTGAAGTGGTGTTGTGTTGGGTACTCATCTTGTCTTGGTGCTCTTGTACAAGCTCCACACCAAATTCCTTTACATGAATAAATTCATCAGGTCTCTTCGTCATTACGGAAACAACCACTTCATCTCCACATTCTAATATTATTGTTTGATTGTCCATTTTCCAATGGCTCAACCATGTCACATCTTCTCCTCTCTCTCTTGTAACACTGTAGAATCTTGGGCCATAGAGCCACTTCAGACCCTTACTCTTGTTACTCACTTCAATACTCATTAGTGGATGAGACGAATAACTCCATCTCTCCTCATTTGCATAGGTAGCAAAGATGTTCAAGCCTCGAATTTTCTGACTTGCAAGAAAAGGCACAACAAAAGAAATTGAGGACTTGGTACTTTTATAGCTGAACCGGCCAGGAACCTCATTCCCAGCAAAAAATGTGCTGTATATACCATGTTGATGCATTCCCTGTGTAAATGGGACGAAATCGACTATATTAGGCAACTCTTTCCGATAAAAGAGAGAGAGAGAGAGAGAGAGAGAGAGGCACCTGAACGGGACTCCAAATCCAATAACCATGTTTAAAATTTTGCAAGCCGAAACGTTTCCTCATTTCCAAGTTGTGCAAGCTGAAAAGTTTCATCATTTCTACATCAACTCTGCCAATGGGTTCTAACTTGTGATGGTACTCCCACTCAATTACATTGAGGTTCTCACCATTGTGGTTCTCACCCACATAGGTCAATGCTCTCAACTCATTGGCTTGATATGTTATAGTTTTTAACGATATGCAACCATCTACATAAAGGCGTCCAATTTTCGGCAACCCCACCAGTGATTCGAGCCTCTTACATCTCGATAAAGAGAGACCATAGAGCCTCCTCAAACCTTTGATGAAAACAGGTAGGCTAGAAATTGGATTATCATCTAAATCTAGATATTGCAACGAGGATAGATTACTTAAATCTGTAGCAAAGGCATCATCAGAAAGATTGCACCTACTAAGGTTTAACTTTACTAAATAACATGGCAAATAAGTCAAGATACTCGAACTTGTACCAGGCCGTAATTCACTCAGGATACCATCTGTTTCGAGAACTTTCACAGATTCCATCTTCTTCATCATCTCATCAAGATTTGAGCAACCAGATAAATTGAGTGTTTCAAGTGATTTTAGCATGCACATGTTAGGAAGCATCCTAAGATTCTTGCAATCCTCCATATTCAAGTACACAAGTCTCTCTAGGTTTCCAATGGATTCATGAACATCAAGCAGGCTTTCGCAATCTATAAGAATCAATTCCTCTAGATTGGGGCAGTATGAGAAGTCCATGGTTTGACTAAGGCCATGAGAATGGCTCACATCAAGGATCTTCAATGAAGGAAGAAACTGCAGGAAAAAAAATTAAAATAAAGAAAAAAAAGAGAAATAATATTTGTGGGAGTTAATTCTAACATATGCGATTAGTCAACGAATCAATACTTAAAAAAGCTAAAGAAGGAAAATGAATTGAGATGCGTAGAGTAACATACTTTTGTTCCTTTGTAGACTTGTGTCAAGCTACTGTATTGCATTTCAAGAACAATTAGGCACTCCAAAGGAAAATCAATGGGTATAGAATCCAAAGGAAATTCAGGCCAACACAACCATCTTAATCCTGTAGGGAAATTTGCATAACATCCCTCTAACCGTACACGTCTAAGATGGAGTAGTTGTAATTTGTGCATCCTTTCAAATGCATTGGTTTCAAAGACTGTCTCATTTGTGTTTATTTGACTGTTTGCAGGATGCCAATGCATGTCCAGGACAAGACCTTGGATTGTTTGTGTACCCTAAAGAAAAAAAGGGAACAACATCAATATGGATAATTTTCACAAGAAGAGAAAAACATGAATATATACATACATATATATATATATACATACATACATATATATATATATATATATCTAAAAGGCATGTTTCTACGTACAATCTTTTCCCTCAGTACTTGGAAGGAATCCTTACGACGCCATAGTCTACTACGTTTCTCAGGCTCTTCTGATTCTAGGCGAGCTATTTCTCTTCCCATATCACGAATCAGATCGTGCATGTTCACCTTTTTGTCATTACCAATTTTCACCAAACATCTATCAATGAGATTTTGAATGCCAACAGTTGTATAGAAATCACATCCATCTAGTATTCTAACAATGTAGTTTTTGTCCCTTCCTATTAGGAAACAAGCAATGTGGAGGAATAATTTCCGGTCATGATCATCTTGTAAACTGTCATAGCTTATTCTTAGTTTATTCATGATTTCGCCATTAGGAATAACTTTTAGCTTCTCCAAAGCACTTTCCCACGCACCCATACTTTCACCTAACAGAGAAGAACCCAAAACTTGAAGAGCTAATGGAAGTCCTCCAGTATGTTGCACTAGCTTTTTTGAATATTCCATGTAACCTTCAGGGGGATGGTCCTGGCCAAACGCATGCCAGCTTAAGAGCTCCAACGATTCATCGTAATCCAAAGTTTCTACTCTGTGGACCTTAGTAACTTGATGTGCCTTTAGCAACCTTTCACGCCTTGTTGTTATGATTATTTTACTTCCGGGATAAAACCGATCTTTCATCCGTAGTACAGCATCTAATTGGTCCATATGGTCTACATCATCAAGAACAAGAAGAACTCTTCTAGAGTTTATGGCTCTTTCAATCTTACTTATTCCTTCACTGACGTTGTGCACTTTCTCCTCCTGCCCCTTCAAAATATCATAAAGAAGTTGCATTTGCATTTGAACTAACCCGTTCGGTTGACTTGCCGTTTCTCTGATATTTTCAACAAAGCTGCTCCCTTCAAAACTTGTAAAATTTGAATTGTAAACATATTTAGCAATTGTTGTCTTCCCTATTCCAGACATCCCATGCACAGCAACTATACCAACATCAGTGGATCCATCTTGTAACCACAAATTGATGTTTTTGACTCGAGATTGGATTCCAATCAAGTTGGATTCAACACCCAAGGGTCTGCGAATTAGCTTGTCACCAATCACCTTGACAATTTTTGTGATAAACTTTGACTCGTACCTACGAATTTGCAAAAAAATGAAATATAAATCAAACATATTGTCTACCTAAGAAAGTTACAAAGGTAACAGCTGGAAGGATGCTAAACATACACATTATTTTGACAGCATATCTTAATTAGTTAAAAATAAAAATGAAACTTTGTTGACAACATGAAACTTGTTGAAAATACTAGTGGGTAATGAATGCCCACAGTATTGAATACCTGCCACAACATTGAAAACATTGCCAAAGGGTTGAAAATCTTGGCAAAATATTGATATGTGGAGATCATTTGTCAAAGATGTGTGCTTGGAGTTGCTCTATAAATAGAGCACTCCGTATGCTTCGAAGAGAGAGCAGAAAAAGAAAGAGAGGAAGAGAAGAGGAGAGAATACATAGAGTTATCTTTGTACTCCTATTTATAATAAAAGCATCATTGATGCCCGAGGACGTACTCCAGTCACACTGACTGTAGAGGAACCTCGTAAATTTTGTGTCTTATTTTATTTATTCCACTGTACACACATCGTCGATTTTACAACACGTTATCAGCACGAAAAGTTCTTATGTCAGTGGAAAGCACAACGCCATAAATTCGATGAAGCACTATCCACCTCTCACCTCCGTCATCTAAAAATCTCACAGAATAAAAGGTATGTCCATTTTTCGTCTCTCCCACTGTGCCAGAAGCGCCCCACCGAATTCTGGTGAGAATTGAAATTTACGACCTGAAGTCGTCACGAGATGAGAAAACTCGTACCTGACAACTGGTTTCCAGAGATCCAGAAGAATCTCATCAGACTTGGAAACCCAGATCACGTTGTTTTCAACGAATCTTGAGAACTCCCATGAATACTTGGTTGTTTGAGATGGTGATGGCAAGAATGAATCCACACATGCCTCCCTCTCTTGTGCCTCTGTCAACCCCACTGTCATCTATGTCTCTGTAGGGAAGTTCTTGCTTAACGATGACATGTTCCCTGGGTCATGCAAGAACAACGCCAGTCTCTAGTAGCCTTTTGGATTGAATTGAATTTGGGCAACCTCCATAACTACCCAGCTGGCCCTGCGTTTTGAGACTGGCAGAGACAGAGAAAGAAGAAAAAAGGAGATGTTGACTGCAACCTAAGAAAAAAAAAATTATATATATATATATATAAAGGATTTGAATGGTGCAGAATGGTGCATGACACCATTTAGTCAAAATCATTTAAATGGTTTCTGTTGGTGCATGGCACCATGCTACAGAAATAAGAAAAGTAAAGTTTGAATAAGTACTGACAAAAGAAAGAAAAATAATAAATAAAAGGAGATATGATACTTCTTGTTATTTATGTGAATTGGTGTTGGTTTAAAACCCTTT